TATATTTTTATTATTAATTTTAAATATAATTCACCAGAACTGTTATATAATATAGTATTATAAAAATTCATTATAAATAGATAATAATTATTATTATAAATTTATATTAAATATTTTATTTATTATAAAATAAATTTGGTATAAACTGGGCTGGTATAACCAGGTTTGACTGTATATATCTTTTGCTTAATTTCCTTTATATCTTCTCTTATAAGAGAATTCTAATGTAGAAACTTGTGAACTATGCTAGTATTTTTGGTCCAAGATGTTTATAGGCTATGTATAGAATGCTGTCTTGTTTCAATATTGATTTGGAGCTTCTATTCTTTATTGTCTCCTTTAATTTCTCTACAATAATATATTCTATAAATCTATCATATCAGTTGTCTAGAATTCTCTTACTTGATACATATTTGTCTTGACTATCTGGATAAGATATCTATGGTATAGTTTTCATAAGATAGGTCCATATTACAAAGTATTCTGAAGCTTTCCTTTAATCTCTTCTGGATTTGTAATTATTTCTATTTGATTGTTTGCCTATAATATGAGTTTGTCAGTTACTATGAATCTATTAAGTCTTTTTATAATGCTATTGATTATTCATTTTTTGTTGTCTTGTAGCCATTGTTGCCTTCTTTTTGTGCATTGCTATATTTCTTTATTTTTCTAATGTTTTGTAATTACTTTTGCTACTGTTTTATATCATGTTATGTGCTCTATGCATATCTTTTTCCACTGAACCAGATGGCTTAAAGAGTAATTAAATGGTCATTCCTTGAGTTCTTCTATCAGTTCTGGAAAAAATCCCTGTACCTTGATTATCTGTTTTTTTATCCGCTATTTAGTTTGCAAGTTGGGTGTATTAATGTACCTTTGTAACATCTTTGATAGTTTTTTAAATACTCACAATCCTTCAGTATATCATTAGAACCTCCCCTATATTTCTGTCTTTTTTCTAAGACTTTATCTTGAGTATATACATATTTGTTACTTCCAGAATATGTTGTTTGAAACTGTTCCATAGACTATTAATATTTGCTTGCTCTATAATATTTCTCTATTATATTCTTAGTTTGATTTCATTCTGAAGTTTTTCCACTTTTTGATATCTATTTTATATCAGTTAAATTTGTGGTTATATATATGGGTTTATCTGTTTTTTTTGCTTGTTGTATTGCTATATCTCTATTCTTGTAATCATAATTTTGTGATTGCTTTTGTGCAAGGAGTCTGGATGATTCATTATATTTGAATTCCTTGATTGCCAGATACTCTATAGATAGTACCAAATTTGATCAATCCTGCTAGTTGTTTCTTTGCTATTTCTCTATCTATATATTGCTTATATTGAATTGTTTGTTCTAAAGATATCCTCAAAGTTTCTAGTGATTAACCATTTCAATAGTTCTGATTGTAGCTAATGGTTGTTTGACTTTTTTAGACTTTGTAATATGTTAATGAAGGAGTTTGGTATAGTATTGAAATTACCTTCTATTACTATGTATAATACTTTTTTATCTACTTGTGTTATCTATTTCTGAATCATACCCTCTATTGCTCACTTTTCCCTCCTGTCATTGTTTCTTGATAAGAGGTATACACCTATTATCCTTAGTATGTGCTTTCCTAGAAAAGCCATATCTATTGCTATCACTCTATTCTTTATCTCTTGTTTCTTATAAATTCTACCTGTAATATCTTAATGAATTGCAATGTACACTCCATATATAATGTTTCTCTCAAGATCTATTGAGGTTGTTAATTAGTATCCTTATTGTTTCCAGTGTTTGACCTAGTTTATGTCTTCATTGATTTTTGTGATTATAATGATCTCCCATTTATTCTCTGTACAGAAATCCATCCACAGTTTACATTTATTTTTCTCTATCATGCCTTTTATATTATATATTGCAATTGTCCAGATTGAGTGGTTGGCTGTTAATTTATTATTATATAATATAATATTCTTGTTTATGGATTTATTAGTATACTAAGTAATTTGTTTATGAAAGGGTTGGGTGCTTAGGACTATATTGTTTGTTTTGCTACTTTCTTTTCTCTAGAAGTAATCCTGAATATTATCTGTTATATTATTAGATATGTTGTGTTTTATGAGACTGTCTATTGATAGAACTTGAAAAGATTAATTGTTTCTTTTATCATTGGGCTCATTTTATTGAGCTGTTATTGATATGCTTTCTGTGTTTCCTGATGTCTTGGATTCTTATACTTGTTTCAGTACCATACTTCTTGCTATTAATGTGTGTTGACTCTTTTAACTCCTCCATGAGATCGCCTATACTCTCTGGGTATTAGTTAGTACACTCTTGTTTTAAGGTATCAACTCTTTCATTCAGATTTTAAAAGAAGTTTTTAATCTCATTGATCTCTTTCTGGATTGTTAATAGAGCCTGTCAGATATCTTCATCATATTAGTTGATATTTGGAGTCCATCTATATTTTAGGATACTTATGTTTTCATTTGTTTCTAGAATTTCTAGTAATGTTAAGGTAGAAGTTTGTTCTGTATTGAGGTTGTGGTAAAATTCATGGATTGTTAAACTTATTAATATATTGTTTTGAAAAGAGAATTTGTGTTATTAAATATATTTGCATGTTGTATTCTGATGAGCTACAAATAAAACACAATCTTGTTTTGTAATTGACCTATTGAGTTTGGATTCCTTTGATTATAAAGGCTACTGATTTTGAATCTGGCAGCTCTTCTCTGCTCTGAAAGATAAATATAGTAAACCTTTTAGCTTAATTGTTGTCGTTGTAAGGAATATAGACTGATTTTATCTTTATACTGGTGATAATTAATGTTAGATTTGCTGCTGTTGTATCTGGTAGCAGGTATATGAGTATAGTACTAAAGTATTTCCTTTGTTTTTTGATTTCATATGTTCTATAGTAAGGGAAGATTATACAAAAATAGAATTTTTTTATAAGTATCTAGTCCTAATTAATTTTTATATAGTTAGATCTGTTAGAGAAGATAATATTCACTATCTAAAAGGGTTCTATTCTTTGCAAGATAATATAGTTGATACTGATTTATTTATTGAAGAATTTTGATAGTTCTGTTTTAGTGTTGGGGATATTCCATATCTAGATAATGCTGGAGTTACTTTCTTGAGATCTCAATGGGACAGTCTTTTTGAATTTTATTCTATAGTCTGTGATCTTTAATTTACATACTTTTTATATATGCTCCTAATTATTACAAATGGTCATTTGGAATTTTCTGATTGAATATTTATATTTTACGTATTCAGAGAGTGAAGATTTTCTATTTTCTATTTAGTGAATTCTAATTACTTTATGGATATTTATCCTGATACCCTTTTCAAGTCAATGAAGGCTTTTCAAGGCTCAAATGTCTCTCGTTTATTTTAAAGGTTTTGTGATATTGTTAATCTTTCACAGATACTTCTTTGATTATCATAACTGTATCTTGCTTGGCCAGTAATATCTACCTGCTTGTCCTGAATTTGTAATTCTTAAATGTTCCTGTCTTCAGACTCATAGACTGTGATTGAAGATAGTGCTCTACTACTTACTGGGGCTTCTATTGGTTCTGAGATCTGTCTTATCTCTTCTATTTCCATTTTCTTGAGCTATATAATTGTGTCCTTCATTTCTTTTGCCTTGCTCTTGTCTACTGATCTCTTTTGAAGTGCTGTTCTAGTTTCAAGAGAGTGTGCCTAAGTTGTAAAGTGGGTGTTGTTCCTTTTGTCTTCAGAACACTAACATTATTCTTGATGCTTCTGTTAATGTTGTATTTGGATATTATCTGTCTTTCCGAACTCCTCAGCTGCCTTGTGGAAGCCATTTTGAGGGAGATTGCCACTTTGTAGCTGGGAATGAGTTCTTTCTATATTTTGCCTAATAAGGAAATTTTTTGTGCTTTGGAAATTTTCAGGAAAGAGTTTTTTTTTTTATTTAATTTGAATTACAAGTAATAACAAATAATATTCTTCTATATATTTAAAAAATTTTCAACATTAATTCAACTTTAACAGTTAAACTCTCAGTGATAACAAGTTAACAAGCTATAAAGTAAGTACTTGATATCATGTACAGAATTTGATTATCATTTACGTATTGTTTTACGAGCCAATCAGAGATCACTAAATTATCTGGGTATGACAGCCTGTAATGCCCAATCTTATTTAGTCTAGTCGTATTTATTCACCGAAATTATAAATTCGCAGGTGCTTTCTTTCTTACTGAAACATTTCTTTACTTTAAACACACTAACCATTTTTGGGATTATTAACTTATTAGTAATGTTATCTGGCACAGCAGACATCATGGTATTTGAAATTTTTAATGATCTGATTCTACAAAATATTTTTTTAATGAATTTTCAGATTTTCTGCGTTGTTTTAGGTGATGCCATTGGGAAATCTTTCCCGATTGATGTTAGTAATGACATGACCATTGGGCATCTCAAGAAACTCATCAAAAATGAGAAAGACCCCGATTTAAACCACATATCCGCGAGTAGCTTGAATCTATGGAGAGTGAATATTCCTCTCACAAGAGAAAACAAGGACACGATACTGTACTCCGAAAACATCCAAGAATACAAAGGCGAGGATTTGCTTTCAAACGAAACTGTTGGGGAATATTTTCACGAATCCTCTAGTAACATCCGAATCATCGTACAACCACCTGTCACCACCGGTAAGTGTCTCAATTTTTACCTCGAACAAGAAATTTGCGGTTATCTCATCTTTTATTCGATCAGGAAAAAGAAGACCCGAAGACTCGAACTCAGATGAAGAAAACGGAACCCGAAAAAAGGAGAAACAAACACGTACGTAATATATTCTGTTATGTCGACTAGTAATCGTGTTCTTATTTTAAAATTAATTTTCTATTTTTTAGCGAAAACCTTGACTTCTCTCCTTGCTTCGTCAATATTGCAACCTCCTGCCATAAATGTTCCCTTTCACAAGTTTTACGATCGTGATCAGGCTCTAAATTCGATGTTGGAGGTCGCTCGCTGGAACTACGAGGGTCGCAGCAGTCCTGACCACAAAGCTCATAAATTTATCCTAATTCCTGGAGGGATAGGAATAGGAAAGACACGGATGGGCTGGGAAACAAAGCATCTGCACTCTATACTGTCAACAAGAAGTGGCGACAGTGCTGAGTTTGAGGAGGCTCTAAAAGATCCCTATTACGTCTTTATTGACTTAAATAATGAAAATAAATATATTAGAGCTTTAGATGGTGTGGAGGATTCAAGTGTGCGAATAGGAACGCGTGTTGCAGTGGCTTCAGGGTTGGTGCCTGAGTGTCCTCGTCTATCTAAATTATTAGCAACAAACAATCCAAAACTCTTCGAACTTTCTGACGTGATTTGTGAGATACTTCAACGTCGTTTTAAAATGCATCAGCGTTCAGTTGAGGCTATCATCATCCATCTTGACGAATATCAACTTTATATTAATGATGTT